ACATGTACTTTTAAATTGTAACACTGCATATTTATCTCTAAAATTTTCCTTTAAAATTTTGGTAATTTCCTCTGGTTTATAAAGGCCATTTTGGAACACTGTCATATATATTGCTTAGAGGTGGACTACAAACCTGATCTTATCCTTCCACTCCCCAACCCCAAACTATTTCTACCCAGAGCTCACATAACAAATGGCTCTGAATGTTTCTAAAGACTGCAGATTAAGTCAAACCCACTTGATTTGTGGAAAACTCCCAACAGCTGTATAGGCTTTTAATCAGACAAAAAAAAAAAATCTAGTGAAAGAAAAAAATCATTAACACTCACATAAAAAAAAAAAAGGCAGGCAAACACCTATTTTTATTTTGCTTTCAATGAAAACCCAAGACAGAGCTCCGGAATTACTTCACCTGACTAAAGCACAATGTTAAACTGTAGCAAAAGCTGTGGTAACACTATGTACTACTCTTAATATACAGGCAGGTGAAAAGATAAACCATCTACCAGGGTAAGGGACACATTTACCTCACGTATCAGAGTTAATTAATCTATACCCTCCCCATCACTTTCCCACAGGACCTATTTTATCTTACAGGTTTGTATGCCCCTGTTTTTTTTTTTTTGTGCACATTAGGAAGTGCTAGAGGGATAAAAAGCAATGTTCCCCAAAATGTGTCAGTAGATGTAAACATAACCCCAAAAGAGGCCATGAAAGCACCATCACATGCTCATGCATATAAACCCTTGACACCCAAGACACTATTTCTTCCTTTGTCTGTAATTCCTGCATAGTTTCGAAGTTATTCCAGCTGCCTGTTTGCAGCTCGACCAGTTTATGTTACTTCATAGTTAATTGTGCTTATGAGGTTTATCACTGTATTTCTGTGTTTTTACTAAAAGAATCAGGGACATTTCAATTGCATCCATCCTCTCCCTCCGCTCCTAAATCTTAAAGCAATAAAAATTCACAGTAAACCAAGAAGGAAAAATAAAATAGCCGAGGAATCTCAAATTAGCCTTAATTAGGTGATTAAGGTCTTCCTTCAGAAGATAGAAAAATCTGATCCTGATTTAATAACACAAGGTGATCTTCTCTTTGCTTTGGCCTTCATGTGCTTCACCTGAGAATCTGCAACAACTGCTGTCAGAGACATCAGCTAGACCCAGGATTGACTTTGTTCTGCCCATAAAAAAATCCACCATTTTCTAAATCAGAACCTGTTCCAAAAGAATGCCACGAACTCTGCTAAATCATGGGCAAAACCTGCCCCAGTAAAAATGCCAGCAGGATGCTTTTTGCACTTATCTCTTCTCCAGGAAGAGATGAAGGGATACCTGGTTTGCAGAGATTGAAGCACAAGTGAAAATCAACCTGCTCAACACCCCCAACGCTCGGTTCCAATGAGGTTTCACCTTAAAAATTCAGTGTCCCAAGTGCCTACAGATGATGTCCTGTGCCTCTAGAGTTGGAGAATAACAGAGCAGCATCCTTTAGGTGCTGCATTTTGAAACCAGGCAGATATGTTCCGCATGTATGTAACCTCCTCCATGGGTCAAGCCTTTAACCAGCAAAGATAATGGGAGCAGAGATGTTGAGCACTGCAGAAATCAGCAGCAAGGGAAAGGTAAAAAACAAACCACAAGAACCATTGCAACACCCCAGTTATTTCCACAGTTTGAGAAAAACTTTCTTTAATAATGCAATCCTCAAGTTTTACCTTATTATGTACATTCATTTTCATGATTTTATACAGTTATTGCATAATGTGGTCATTTACATCTTCCAGTTCAAGTGACATTAGGTGGCACAATTTTGTATTAAATTCTAGTTGCACTCTCAGGCAATTACACCAATGTGAAACAAGAACAAGATAGACTATTCCCTTCAGAATGCCTTCTTCACATTGCCCAGATGTAAAGAAAGCATAATGGAGACAGTTGTGATGTTTATGATAATCCCAGACTGATTTGTGTTCCTTTGGTAGATTGTAGTGGAATGTAATGGCAAAAAAAAACCCCAACCAAAAGCAAACAAAAAACCCAAACCCAAACAACTTTAGGAGGAAAAAAAAATAATTAAACTGGTAAGAACTGTACACTTCCTTTTTTGGTAAGGCAAAAGTACTTCAAGTATTCAGAAAAGTGGAAAAAAATAACTTTTTCTTTTCAGTGAAAAGGTAAAATAGACTATTTAACCACTGTGTAATAAGTGCCAATAAATTGGTGGAAGTGATTATACATCATTCTAGAAGGAGCCGAAACCATCCTGACATAAAGCCATACTGGAAAAAAACCAAACTCATAACTAGAAAAAACAGTGCTGATGCCTTTATCAGCTTGCCATGATGAGTGTTTTAAGTGCATGACTGAAAATAAGCACAGTGATGCCACTGGAACCAGTGCAAGTGAGTTCCTGGGGAGCTTAATCTGGAAGAGAGACAAGAGACTGAACACAGACAAGGGCCTGGTTTAAGATGCAAGATAACAAAAGTAAAGAAAGATTGCAGGAGTAGCCCAGAACTCAGTTCAGGTTTGTTCTACACATGTAGAAGCTACAACACATTTCACTGCACAGCAAAAAGAAAATACGAGCAAAAAGATAAAGAAACAGACAGACAAGAATCATTAAGCAACTTTTGAACAGTGAGACAACATGGCAAAAATAAACTTTTGAATGAAAATGCACCATCATCCTGGATATTTTCCTCTCCCTCACGCAGGACAGAAAGAGAGGCTAATGAGAAAAAAAAAGGGGGGAAAAGGATACAGGATGATTGCTTGGCACTTTTGAAAACTGTTTTTTATCTTAAAAGAAAAATAATCAAATAACTTACAAGCAGTAGCAGTGCTTTATGGACAATTACCTTCCCCAAGCCCTTGTCCCTACAGAGGTGACCACAACAGTGTCTGTTTTGGTGACAAGTGTCTCCATGAGAAGGCAGTATCTCAAAGAGCAGTTTCATTTTCACATCTCAAAACAGCAGTTGGGATTCATTCTGATCTTCACAGCAATTTACTAATCACAGGACGAAGATTCAAACAAAAAAAAATCACCTTTTCAGAGGAATACCAAGGACAGTGAAAAGCACCCGGACACAGATTACTGTTAATTCCCCACTTTAGGTTTGTTGAGAAAGTTACTTACCCAAAAAAGTTTTACCCGGGTGAAAGTTAGTGATATGGAACGTGTGGTCATCAAGCCATAAAAGTATGTGATCTTGCAATACTGGTTGAGCACCTTCTAATCCCACAGACTTGAATTAAAAATTTGAACTGCTGAGCACTTTGATTATCCCATTCAACCTTTTTTTTTCCACCCCCCTTTAAGTGGGAGACTGGCAGAGATCGTGGCGCAACATTCCGGCCAAAGTTCAGCTCTTTCATGGAACACGACACAGAGGCAGAACGGGAAAGTAAAAGGAAGAGGGTTCACTAAAAAGCAGCATGAGAATGTTTACTCCAGAAGAGCTCAGTTTTTAGCACGTGGAAAAGCACGAGTGCAATGGTTCCGGTCGCAGTTGTAGCTGCTCTCACAGCGACCAGCACGACACAACCGGCATCAACCCTTGAGCAAAAGCAAAGGAAACCAGAGGATGTGCAAAGCAGGCAGCCCCTGTTCCTCAGCTGAAACAGATTGTGTTCCAATGTGATTAACTCCTGAAAATTCGGTAAGATACGCTGGTGTCACATTACAGCAAAAATAGTGTTTCGACTCTCACTACAAAAAGATTAAGGATTCTGTTCTGGTCCTGCCTAATCCATTCATGAATTGCAGGGCACAGCCCTTGCCACATTGCCAGAAAAGGCAGTTCCATTTTCCTGTGCTGAAGAAAGTAGGAGGCTTAGTGGTTATAAAGTTCATCTTTTAAAGTGCACTGTCATTTTAAACACACTTTCCCTCTTAAAAAAGAAAATAAAACATGTTCTGATATCAACAGTCTATAAAAATAATGGCTGCAACACTCCTCTAAAACTGCAACTTAAAATCAAGTCAAGTTAGCAAGATTCAAATCTTCTGTGAAAAAGATATGAACCCAAAAATAAAATAACCTTCCTGCAGAGAATTGCCAAGCAAAATCTCACACACTGTCCTACAAGCCCCTCTTCCTAAACAGTATCTCACAGAAAATCCAGTTTCTTCCAGCTGACAACCTCAAGAAAACAGAGGTCTAAACAAATGAGTCCTTCCCACCAGTCACCTACATAACTGCAGGTGTGGGTGCTGGTGCAGTTTTTCCATCAACTCCTCCTCTGTAGGTTCTTCCAAAACATCTCTACAAAGAAAAAGCATGAGTTGTTAGGGGCAGCAAAGGGAGCTTCTCAGCATTTGTTTTAGCAATGCACATACTGAGGATGTGACGTGTGCTCGTTTCAAGAATGAAACAAGGAATTAAAATCACAATAAGTTGATGCTCCCTAAAGATGCATCTACTTGCAAATGATCCATCCTCTACAGATGTGTCATGGAAACCAGCAGCTGTTTTCCCACAAGAAGCAGGGAAGCAATTTCCTGCACACAGTACAACACAAGTGAAGGTCAGTAGATTTGTTTTCCTGAAAAAACTCCCAGATGAGAACATGTTCCCAGTGCTACTATTGAATATCCAATGTGCACCAGAAGTTCCACTCATACACGATCATCAAGTCTCAACTCACCACCCACAATTTCATAATAAGCCAAGAACATGCATCACTTTCCTCATCTTCCCTTTTCTTCTTTCCCTTGTTTTTGTCCCCCTCAGCAGTTGTTCCCCTCACCCCCAGCACCTCTTCTCCCACCCTGCTACGAGCACAAAGCATATAAAGGTTAGGCTTCCAAGTCAGCTTAAACCAGGCCTAACTAAAGCACTTGTTGATTTTTTCCTAACTAACACATAGAACAGTTTGCTTCAGAGGGAGAAAATGCAAGACAAGCCTTTGCCCTCTTGCAGGCAGCACATTTCCTTTAAAAGAGAACATAAAAAAGCTAGACTGATTATCAAATCCAGTCCAACTCACCTGAACATTAGTTCCACTGTCCTCTGGTATTCAACATCTGAAAGAGACTCTCGATGACAGCGACGGTCCCACTTGTGAATAAAGTTCTGAAATGTAAAAGGAACAGGGAAAAATTAAAAGGACTACTTCTGATGACATCAGAAATATCCAGTCACTATGCCTGCAGGTAAGGTTTGGGAGGGGGGTGAGCTTTGTTTTTAAACACAGTGCCAGAGCACATTTACTGGCTGTGGGTCACTACTTTATTTGAGCCTCTTGTTCAGGAAAAACTTTCTCATCACAAACTGAACGAACAGCAGAGCACAAGAGAGCCCTGCTGCCTTCTGCTCCTAGCAAGGACTGCCTCCCCAAGACAACCAAGTGAACTACTCACAAATTTTTACCTGCTCTGAATTTCTTCCACTTTAAAAACCCAACTGTATATAAACCTACTGCTAGTCCAGGCATCACAGTTTAAAAATCAGTTACTGGTTTTGTCACTTCCCTTTCCCATTTTGAATAACTGACAAATTAATAATTGGGGAGCAGACAAGACAGTTCAGGGGAAAAAAAAGGGGGGGGAGAAAAATAGTGAGATCCTGCTCTCCTTCTTCAGAGTGCTGCTTCTTGGCTCTTATAGCAAAAACTTTGGCCACAGCCCTGCAGAAGTAAGCAGACAGAAGATATCTTGGACTGAAAGTTTGCCATTCTTCCTACTATAATAAATTTAAATTCTCAATACCTTCAGCAACAACAAAAACATCTCCCAAAGAAACTTTTAGAGGTTTTGAGATGGGGTGAAGTGCCCTCTACAGGTACTCAGTTCCTTCCATTACTTATAAGAGAAGTCTACAATTATTAAACTGGAGGAGATGGTTCTGATTAGCATTCCCTTCACCATCAGAAATTTGGATTTGCAGGATAAACATACACAAGAAACTAGCAGAATGTTCTTCGTGGCATTGCTTGGGTACCTACATTTCCACAGCTTCTTTGAAAGACTCTAGAATATGGTCTCTTGAAAAGAAATAATCAGTTCCACTCTTCTAGTGTGGAACTGAACAATAGTAAATTCAAATCAAGGTGGGAAGAACCACAGGAGAGCCAAATAAATTAAAAATTTGAAGAGCTAACTTCATTTGCTGATATATGAAAAGGCAAAAAGCCTGCAGCTTGAATAACTAATGCTGAAGTTAAATGCAAATGTACAAGAGACAAGCAATTTTATAATACTTATAATATTTTTCATCTTTATAGAGAGTGATATAATGAAAATGTACATAACCCAATGAGATGCAACCAGTTTTGTGACAAAACTGCAAGTAAAGCATACAATTGTCTAGGAAAAAAACCAACCTCCTTCACTCCTCAGGGGAAGGGCAGCAAGGAGAAAGGTAAAGAAAGAACACACACAAGCCCTACATACTAATCCCAAAAAGTTCCCTGGGTTCTTTTAACTTCCTGCACAAATTAGAATCCAGCTTTGGGATCCAACACCGAATAAACACATTTCCTTACCTCCAGAAGTAAAGCTACGAAGAGATTAACCCAGATGACAGAGGAGATCAACCACCAGGCTACAAAATAGATCTTTGCCCACCTGCAGATCGGAGTAACACACAATAAGTAAAGTAGGCAGTAAATACCCTCAGCCTGAAAGTGAGCAGAGCACCATGAAATCACATTTTTCCTTGAAATATAGTACTACTCCTTTTTTGATGTCAAACGAGGTAGGGAATAAAAAAATTAAAAATAGAAAAATCTTAGCCCTTCATTAAATCAGCCAAACAGACTCACTCTCCCTGCTCAACCTGCTTAATTGAGCTCTGAAGGGACAAAAGCAGCCCAGTAGAAGCTGTGCTGGATCATATAGCAAGAGATCCATCTGGGATAGTATCTTTGGAATGGTCAAAAGCAGAAACATAGGAAAGAGTGCAAAACCATGGCAAAATATCTGTGTTGCTGTCCTCTAAGCACTCCCCAATCTCCAACTGTTTGCAGTTCAGAGATTTCTTGAATTACAGCTTCCATTCACTGCAGATCCAATGGATTTCTCTGTCATGACTTGTCCAGTCTCCTCCAGACCACATTAAACATTTATCCCACACAGCAGCCTACAGAACTTAACTAAGGGCTTGGGATAACCAGCCAAGGAGCACTGGAACAACTCAACCCAGAAGCCACCCAGTTCATTCAAACATTCCCATAAAGTCATTAAATACAAATGAAAGATATGTCCAAGGGGTTAAGTCTACCAAAAAAATTGTTCACCCACAGAGAAAACACAGAAGCATTAAATTTCTTTCCTTTATACCTGAATTTCCAAAAGAAAGGTAAGCAGCAGCCCTCTTAGCAGATGGAATTGTGCCATGAGTGTAATTCTTGCTCAGTTACCTTACAAGCTGGATTTATAGGAGACTTTTTCAGTATTGTTGCTGCTACTTACGGACTTGAATATCTTGAAAACGCATCCAAAAAGACCTGCCAGTTGTTCACCACCATCACATCCCAGAGGGTCACCACTGCTGCCTAAATAATGTGAGCAGAACAGAAGGTCAGTGGTTATTTCTCACACACTCAAGGCTCAGAAAATGAGGAGAGGCAAGAGGAGAGGGGAAGAGGGGAGGATTTCATCAACGATCACACTCACGGCAAAGTCATCGAAGTTGTTGGGCCAATATTCCAGCTGCTCGTAGGTCCCACACTGCAAAGTGCCATTAGCAAATGTTGTGTTGGCAGAACTGTGGGAGAATTACAGGGGGATGTGAACACAGCTTTCTGTAAACTGTACCTTGAAACCAAAATTATCCTGACTGCCCTGCAGTTCAGTATCTCAAAGGTAGAAAACGAGGGAAACAGTTCAAAACCAAGTAAGCCTTCCTGCAATTTCAGTGCAGCAAGAAGAAACAGAAGATAAGGTCTTGTGATTTAACATTTAAAATTAAAACATTAAAATTCAGCTCCGAGAATAAGAGAAAACAAAAAACAACAAAGCAACCACAAACAGGTGCTTTTGAAAGACAGGATCCTTTGTGAGCAGTGATGTTGAAAACCTTACCTGGTGTTTCCCAAGGGAACAACAGCACCTTTAAACAGCATTATGCCAGTGATAGCAAATGCATAGAAAACCACCTGGAAGGAATACAAGCAGCTGTTAGCTTTGAATATTTCTGTCACTAAATGAGAAAGCAACGCAATTAATATGGAATTTATATTTGTACCACAGGTGAAGGAATTACATCAAGAACAACGCCTGAAGCTTTTAAAGTGAAAATACTTAACTGTTTGCTCTTACTTTTTAATATTCTATTTAACTTTCTGTTCTTAAAATGGGTTAAATCCTTTTATTTTATGATCTATTTTACTTTTTGATCTGTTTTGCTTTTTTGTGTCTCAGAATGCTGATATTTAATTGTTAACATTGCAAAATAGTAACTTAAACCAAAACACACTGACGGTATTTACAAAGCATAATCTAAATATTTTTATTTAGGGCATTTTCTGCTAGATTCAGTGCAAATAAGCTTTTATTAAATTTAACTGAAGGACAAAACCAAGCCAGTATTTTATATTACACCAGCAACTTTCTTAGAAATGTTACAATTAGCCTAAAAATAAAGTTTTCAGTAACACAGAGGGCTTTGAAACTTCTTTCTTTTACTTGTTGGAAATGAAAATTTCCCTTTAAAGAGACACCTTTCAGACTTTAGCAGTCATTTGGGTGATTTTCCAGTTTTTATCCTACAAAGATTGTTCTAGAAATAACCTACAGCTTTGCTCCTCTGAGAAAGAGCCACTTGTCCCAAGAAAGCTTGAAACAAGCTGAGTCTTCAAATGAAAAAAGTCTTTTTTTTTTATTATTATTTTTTTTATTATTATTTTGTTACAAACAGACCCAAGGGGGGAGAAGTCTGGGAGGAAGAGAACTGCCCTGGCCTATGAACCACAGCACTTTGAACATCACTGGAGTAAGTTGAAGCTGATATTTCACAGCCTGCCAGAAGATGGGGCAATAAAATTAATTTTATTCTTTGAAAAAACCCCATATATTTCAGAGCCTCACTGCATGAGAAATTAGCTAATTAGTTACATTACTTTATCAGCATGTGTTCCAGCCTAACTTTAGGAAAGATATTTTCTATCAGCTAGCAACGGAGTCAGATTTCAGTAGAGCAGCAGCTCGGTGACAGCTTCCACATAGCCTGAGGCAAAAGCAAATTAAACTAATGGAAGTGGCAGACACTGTAGCAGACTCGCCTCACAACTGGTGCAAAACTACAATTCACACTTCTGACATTAAGGACAATCAGCAGCAGCCACTTTATGAGAATCATGTCTCACATATATGCATAGAGACACTACAGTGAAACACTAATGCACATTTTATGAAAATAAAAATCAAGCCTATCGCTACAGGCTCCCACCACTTCTTCCAGGAACGAAAGAAAATACTTCTCAGCTCCAAGAGTAGCTCCCAGTGGCAAGTGTGACTTGTAGAGCACAACAAAAGTTGTTACCAAATTTGCTTTGCCCCAACCAATATCTTTATTTCAAGCTGCAACACACACCAACCTAGGGTCCCTTCTCTACAGATAGAAGTAGAGATTATTAATGACAAAAACAGACATTCTGGTTAAATTGCATGCTAAATGTATAGACCAGAACAACAAATCATTGGTCTCTAACCACTACCTCAAAATAAAGTATCCTACAAAACCCCATGGACAATAACAAAACCAAACCTACCCAGGCACTTCGTTGCTCTACCAGGAAGACACTGTTGCAAAGCCAGAAACTCAAGATTTGGGAGGATTTGTGTAATGGCCATCATGCATTGTGATCCACCCTTTAATCACACGGTTACAGAGCATGTGCTCTACACAGACACACCCAAAACAGGATGACAGGAGGCTTTCAAAAGTCATGTCCACACATGCCATCTCAAGACCTTCACAACTGGAAAACGATTTTCAAGTGGTTCTGCTATTTAATAAGTAAATATTAATAAGTAAATCAGGGTAAGGAAAACTGGTCTGCTTTTAGCATGGATGAATTTTGATTTGCAACCAGAGTATCCAGCCTGAGGCAAGCACTCTGAGGAAGCTTCAGTCACTCTTATAAAGATTCTCCTGATAAAAGAGGCACTGTCACTGTGCACAGGCCATAACAAAACAGCAGTTTGTCCTGGCTTTCAAACACATGCCCTGGAGAAGAACTGGCTGATTGAGGTGAAATGTTAGTGATCCTGGTGACTGTACAAGATACTTGTTAACTCTTTTGGAGACATACCCTTAGTAGACTGCTAACTATAACAAGCTTGCATCATGACTTACCACCAGGATTCCTGCAAAGGCTCTTAAGTTTTTTACCAGATCCAGCAATGTAGTGACAACCAAAGCCATGAACTAAAACAAAGCAGAATTTTACATGCATGACATTCATCCCACTTCCATTCCACATCAAATTATTTTTACTAAAAGGACAAAGAAATACCAACGGGGAAAGTGAACTATGACTACATGCAAGACATCTTTGATACAGAAAAATTCCCATGATTTATTTAAAATGAATGAACAATGCTGTAGGAGTCTTTTTCACAGACAGACATCATCATAAGTCTTAAATATATACAGGCACTGCAACCTAAAGGACTGTATGCCTAGTAAGACTAGAAAGAATGGCAGACAAGCAAAACACCAGCACCTCCCAGCTCCAGGGTGACTGCTTCATATTTGACCCACACAATTCCGATTTTACACTTTCCACTGACATCATGACCTCTGATTACATCAGGTTTGGTATTTATGGTTTACTGAAGTGAGATATAAACCCTGTGCCCGACATTAATTTGGGCTTAGCTTTTAAGCAAGTAAATGCAGGATTATAACAAACAATCAAAGTGATTTCTGACTCAAGTGCATGTATTGTGGTGGAAATACTCATGCTGGGAAGGTGGAGAGGGATTTACCCCACAAAACCCTTTGCATTACCAAATGTCTTGCAGTATCTAGTGAAAGCAATCCTAACCCCTCCTAAATACAAAGTTCTCCAAGGATATCCCAGCCACTCATCTAATTAAGACTGAAGCACCACACAAGCTGCACGAGTGTTTCTGGGTAAGTTTGCCCACCTTAGAATAGCAGCATCAACTGCCACCACACCAACAGAACTTGGCTGCTGCCTCAACAGAGAAAACCAGCCCCAGAGACAGGGAGTTTGTGAGGGGCTGTGCAGCAGCCAGGACAGTCAGAGCTGAGCTCTGATCTCACTCATGGGCAAAAGAATTGCAGTCTGTATGTTATTCTGAAAGGCTGGAACAAAATTTATGAGGTGACCAAGAAAGAAATCAGAGTTGTGGAGGGATGAGCAATCACCTTCATGTTGGGGATGATCCGCAGGAAGCGGAACACGATCAGCATGTTCACCAGCCGCACCATATCCCACAGGGATAACAAGCCCATGAACTCGGGTCTCCTGGGAAAGATGGGAGAAAACAACCAATCAGAGAAACAGCTCACAACAGAAAGACAGAGTTTAATCTCCTGGGCTACAGGTAACTGTAAGTACATTCATTTACTCAGCAGGAATCTCACCCTTAACAACTGTTGCAGGAAGCAACCCGTTTAACCTGGGCTCTTAAATATGCAGAGAGTGCTCCTTAAAGTGCATGTTTGTGAAAGAAATTATTTAAGACAACACTGCAGAGAACACATATTCTAGTCACATTGCTGTCCTGAAGGTGTTACATCTACAGACCAACAGCACACACTCACCAGTGACTCGTGGGTTACAATCTGCAGTGACTGACACAAAGACCTAACAAGTGTTACTGGTGCTCCAAGATGTAGAGCAATCAATCACCTGCATTTAAGAATCAAAGGGCTAAATCAACCCCAAATATAACCAATTCTAAGATAATAATTAATGCCATTAGACTGTAGCAATTACTATTCTACATCACTTTTTTGTAGTGTTGTTTTCAGCAGTGTTCAAATATAAGCCATTTTCAAACCATAAGGTCTACCAGGTCTCTGCAGGGATAACAGTGTAAGTTGTTTTTTGTAACAACAAAAGATCAGGAGAGTTATCCAAAAGCTGTTTGATCTTAAAAAAAAAAAATCAAAATACAACTGCTTGGTATTCCAGTATAGACAAATAGTCTATAGGCATTTTTCTACTAAATTTTACAGCATGACCCAGCCCAGTCACTGAGCAAAGTGCAGCAGTTCACAGAGGTCACCTACCAGCCAGGATGAGGAAATCCATACACAGCAAAAGTTGCAATCTCCAAAATCTTTAGTTAGGAAAGAAAGAGAGAAAAAAAGGTCAAAACTTTACTTTGTAATTCTGAGTTTCAGAAATTCTGTAAGCTTCTTGACAGGAAACATTTTTAAGAGCATTAAGCTGCTTTTCTGACTCACTTTAAAGCTCTGAATTGTCATATTTGCCCAGATATTCCCCAAATTATCTCAATGTACATAGGTCATTCAATAAAAGGATACACAGTGAATACCATTAACCATGAATTTGGCCTCATCTGCCACATGGGTTTCAAGCTTTTAGCAAATAGCTATTACAATAACCTGCCTTTTTATTGAAAGAACAAGGTCATCTTAGCTGCATAACAGAACTTCTTATGCAATTATGTCAAGAGCTGAATGTTTCCAAATAGCAATAAAAAGACTTCTTATAAGAAAACTCACCTTTTCCATGGATTTAAATAAGCCTGCCTTCAGAAAGCAGACCCTAAAGGAACCATGCACCAGCAAAAACTTTCAAGCCACTGAAAACCACTGCTCATGTTGTTCAGCTCAGCCTGTCAGTGTTGAAGAAAGAGCAATCCCACCAGCTCATGGAGTTCCCAACCTCCCTACCCAACAAACCCAAGAACACATTAGTTAACAAAACACTTACCAGCAAAATTACAGTCAGAAGCCCATCAAATCTATTGCTTGGGTAAGACAAGTATCTTCTCAAGCCCATTGCTAAGATTTTCAGCAACATTTCCAGCAGATAGTACAGGATGAAGAAGCAGTTGATGGCCTTCACCCCCCCAAAATAAAACCAATCATTAGAATTACTGACATCTCAGGGAACAGCAATAACTGTAGAAATGCTACTGCATCTTACCCCCAGGAAGAAGTCATCTCTTTCAGAAGGCTGTTTATCTGCATCCATCACCAAAACCACCTTAAACAGGAAATATTTTATGAATCCACTGCTTTACTGCTACATAAAACAGATTTTTAAGCACAAGAAGAGTCTTTCATGCTTTGCACAAACCTTTTTCAAGTAGCTGAGAATATATTTTTAACTGCAGGTATTCCCTCTCAACTTAAGACTTTACATGACTAAAGTATGCCAAAACCCTGCCAGCTGCTACAAAAAATGGTTGTTTAAAGAGAGACTAAAGAACAAAAACAGAACTTAGGTTTGTAGCAGAGGAAAACCAAAAAAACAGACAAAAAACCCCCACCACCCCACAACAAAAAAACCCTTTTACTTACACAGATAGAAATAATGTTTGCAAGGGCTACCACATTCCCCAAGTAGCCAAAGTAGGGATGGCCAAAGGCAAACTGCAATTTCTGCATAAAATGGGATTGGTACTCTGGACTGGGAGGATGCTGAAAAGAACACAAAGGGTTTGCTGAGAATCAAAGCATAAGCATTTTAATAGTACTAAAATAATAAACCCCCACACCCAATCTCAGATTTTAAAAGAAGCCAGACATTTTCAAAGCAAAACTTCAGGACCACAGGCTAATTTTGACATTTCAGCTGGAAAATGTTTCCAAGCTGTGGCTCTTCACAGCAAAAGTTCATTTCTGATTATGGCACAACACAAGGGAATGGCAGAGAAGGGAAATAGTCCAACCCTTCTTCAGTACCCCAAGCAGGTAAACTAAACACCCAGGTATTAATTGTACCCATTCCTTCTCCATTTCCCAGTGTTTAATTCAGAAGTCTTGGTTACATGCAAACATAGAAAAGAACATTTCTTAACCCTCAAACAGTTGTGTTTTGTTTTTTCCTTTCTCCCTCCAAGAGCAGAAGGCTGCTTTCTGCCCATCTTCATCTGAACACTTAAAAGAATTCATATTTTGTTCTTCACTCAGGGACTGGAGAAAAGACTTTGAGTATATTTAAGTGTTACCCTGCAAAGGCTAATACAACTGAAGATGCATTTCTTTAATATAGGACTGTCACAACAAGAAAAATCCCTCCTATTTCATCAAAACCAATTTACCAGGGAGGTAATTCATTTCACCTCTCAGAAAGCCAATGCTGTAAATCCAACCCCTATTCTTTGTTTCCTTGTAATGAATCTTCCTACTAGACAAATACACACACAGATCTTATCAATTTTGTTTGGCAAAGTTGCTTCAAAATGCTGACAGAATAAACAATTTTGTACATTTAGGGCAATCCCAGATGAATGCTGTGAAAGCCCCCAAAGCCACGTTGTTTGTGACTGTAAGAGCAACTCATGAACAACTTCAAAACCAACAGCGTGTGATTGCGCCTTGTGTTCACATGTTGCAAAGTCTGTTTATACACTTTATAGAGCAATACCATCACTTATTTTTGCCCAGGACCGGACAACTTCTGATGTTTCATAAACAATGGTCAGATACATACTTGCTTAATGGCGTCTTTGTCTAGTTCTTCAAAGAGCTTCTGGAACTGGGCAGCTGACAGTTGGTCACAGGAGCACATTTTGAGTGACTTCACATGAAAGAGAAACATTCAGATCAGAATCTGCAATAGGTGCATCTGCAAAAAGTGCCAAAACCCTCAGACAATCTTTAAAAGACTGGGAATAGAGATCTAACACAAGCTACTCCAAGCTGTTAGAGTAACGTTCAATTTTGCTTTAACACAACACTGCCATGTGACTGGAGGATTCCTCTTGCCTTTTCTATTTTCCCCTCTCTGGAACCACATGCACTTTTGACAAACTTAAAACTTTTAGTCCTGTAGTGCCATTATTATGTTATGATCCAAGGAATGCTGCAGCAGAGAGCAGCTCTAGACCACAATACTTCCAGGGAGAAAGGAAAGCCAATGGAAAAATTAGCTCTGCAAAACAGGAGTTTTCATTCCTCTATATCTCTCTCCAAGTGAATGAATCCCTCATCATACTAACCAAAGAGGGAGCAACTTAAAGGTGAAATCCTTGTCTAAGGACTACTTTTATTCTGAAGATCAAAACATAAACAGACAGTGAGCTGGGCTTCTGTTCACACTTTGAGAAAGCAGCATAAAGGACCTGAGCTGAAAGCTGCCATTCCTAGATCAATAGTGTAATTAGGGAAATTTCAGTTTCCACAGCTGTCACATCACAGGGTTTGACAGTCACCAACATCAGGGCTAAGAACATTCATTTCTTACCCTCAGGATGGCTTGTTTGCAGCGAGAATCCATCTCAGCTTTCTGCAGCACTTGGTGTAAGGCCCCACTGCTGACATATGACCTATTTAAAAGAAAACAGAATGGGCCCTGGTACAGATAACTGTATAGATGGCAAAAAAAAAAAAGCTGTTCCAAATGCATTCCTGCCTTTCTTTTCTGGAAAAACAGGTATAATTAGAAGTAGAAATACAAGGGAAACAGACACCATAAGTCCCAAATACTGTGTTATGAACATTCAGTTAAATTAAAAATAAATAAAATGAGAAGAGCAACACACTTCCTTTTTTAAGAGTGGATCCTTAGTAAATTAAACAAAACATAGATGACCAAAAATGTACTTTTTTTGCTAGATAATCTACTGTTTCAACATTGTTCACTTACTGTTGGGCATTCGCAGGAGTCTCTTTCAGGGTGGAAAGCACTTCGAAGGCAGCCCGGATTCCCAGCCGCCTCCTGAAGAGGGAGGACTGAACTGATTTCTGAACAGTAAAAATACCACAGAGGAAACAATTTACTCACACTTCATGCACTACTATGTCCTATGGTCACAGAATACACTGATCCTCTGGCACACATCCTGGATCCGTGATTAGAGATCAGAACAGGGGACTGCCCTCAGCCTCACTCCCTCCAAGAACTCTGTGTACGAGGAGGAAGGAAGCAAGTAGGAAAGCAAACAACTCTGGAATCCAAGTAAACATCCAGGTCATGAATTATTTTCAGTTCTGGACTGCATAGGAATATGCCTGTTCCAGAGACACTGGCAACAGCAAAGCTCAAGGATTCACAGCAATTCACACTCCTGTGCAGAGGGAAGAGTGAGACAGCTTGTCCAGCTCCAGCTTCTCCCCTAAAGGCACAAATCCAGAGCCACAGTTTTTCATGCTTTTTTTTCCCCTCCACAATAACCACTTTCAAACTCAGCTGCTTTGTTGGGAGTCAAGTTATGTCATGCTCTCATGTGAGAAAGAAGGGAAGAAATAGAGAGGAGGAAAAGGATTACCAAAAATCCTCTTTGCACATATTAGGTTCAAACACCTCTCTCTCACAAGAGGGTGGGGGCCATTCCTTCTGTGTAACATTGCTTAAGGCTCAGTAGCCAAAAAACTTCTCCTTCTCTCTGGAACTCAGAGCAGGCAGCTATTACTTCACTTTCCCCCCCCCCCAGCCCACACTCCACTCCTCTAAAGGGCTGAAGGAACTATAAAACTATGTAAGTAAGGGGAAGGAACTATAATATATATATTAGGGGAAGCCAGTAACGAAGGAACTATAAGAAGATATGCAAATAAGGGGAAAAAAATCACACCCAAAGTCACCAAGTTTCTCCTGACACTAAACCTTAAGGAAATCACAGGCATAGAATCCTGGGCTGCATCAAGAGGAGCGTGGCCAGCAGGTCAAAGGAGGTGATTCTCCCCTTCTACTCTGCTCTTGTGAGATCCCACTGCATCCAGTTCTGGTGTCCCCAACACAAGAAGGACATGGAACTGTTGGAGCAAGTCCAGAGGAGGCCACAAAGTTGATAAGGGGACTGGAGCACCTTCCCTACAAAGACAGGCTGAGAAAGTTGGGGTTGTTCAGCCTGGATAAGAGAAGGATGTGTGGAGACCTCAGAGCACCTTCCAGTACCTGAAGGGGTCTCCAGGAAACTGGAGAGGGACTTCTCATCAGGAACTGTAGTGACAGGAACAGGGAGTAATGGGTACAAATTGAAAGAGGGGAAAGTTAGGTTAGATATTGGGAAGAAATTCTTTACTGTGAGGGTGCTGAGACACTGGCACAGGCTACCCAGGGAGGTTGTGGATGCCCCATCCCTGGAAGTGTTCAAGGCCAGGTTGGATAAGGCCTTGAGCAACCTGGTCTAGTGGGAGGTGTCTCTGCCCATGGCAGAGAGGTTGGGAATGGATGATCTTCAAGGTCCATTCCAAGCCCTTAACATTCTATGATTCTATGATTTGCAACAATGGCTATTTCAACAGTACAGCAGATTTTCTTCACAAAAACCAAGTTTGAGTTACTTGTTCACCTTGATCAATTTTATAACAGGGTTTTTCCCCCCGCCCATAATAGTCAAAGTTGCAGATCCACAGCATTCTTAAAACTTTAGCATCTTAAAACTTACAACCAAAACAGGCCTCCTGCTTTAATGCACAGATGACACTTAATATTTCACAGGTTCAAGGTTATGGCAGGACACAGAAATTAGAAATGCTTTACTCACCAGGAGGTATCCCCGAAACTGGTTGTATATTATTGCTGTAAGCAAGTTCATCAGAAACAGGTTGCCTATTGGAGAAAAAGAGGCAGTAAGGACTACTGAAATCCATATCATATTTATCAAAGAAGTTTCAGTGCATGTAGTAAATAAAATATATCATTTAAAAAGGATTAGTTTTCTCATGTTTGATTTTTAAAGTGGTTTTATGTACTGTAATGTGTGCATTTATGTACTGTAATGTGTTACCAAAACCTCTAAGCCATAAGTGAAAATTATCTTACAGACATTACACAATAATTGGAAGAAACACAAAAAAAGGAGAAATTTATGATTAAACTTTCCTAGAAAAATAAACCACTGTAGTTCTTATGCACAAGTGTCAGAGTTAAAGTGCATTTACATGACTGAAGACAAGAGGTAACTTACCTAATACAGTGAAGAGGATGAAGAAGATGGAATATGCTCGATTCTTAGAATATGCAGGAATCATCACTGTGTGAGATTGAACAAAAAAAAGAAATAATATTTTAATGCTTAAGATGCACAGTGGAGACCTCAATCAATTTTTGGCAACTGGTAAAAGCTCTTATACAGCTGCACTGGCAATATATAATTACCCAAAAGAAAGGCAAGAATCAAGTTACTAAAGGCATGGAAAACCTTTTTCCAACCTTCCTCTGGCTGTACTAAGAACTAGCAGCTGAAAGAACGGTTACAGTAGTCTGCAGGTAAACTTAACTCTATTGTTCTTTAAAAGGAGAGATAAGAGCTGTTTCTGAAAGTCTGCTCACCATCAGGATTGTTTGCAGTAGTCAGCAGGACCAGCAGGGATGTCAGTGAATCCGGCAAATTGCGGAAATACACCACCCACTCCTTATCCTGCTGGTTATCCTGGTCAAAGAGATGATCATTGTTAAGAGAAACACTGAAGAATCACTGTCTTACCAAGGAAAGGGGGGAAAAAAGAATTAAAGTCAGTCAATAATCGACTTCTTACATACATAATCTCATCCACCCCGTGAAAAAAAGCACAAACCAAGCATCAAAATGAAGACATTATGTGGGAATACAGAGCAATCACTTCACTTATCAACAGCAATTAAAAACCACCAGGAAGAACAGGAAGCTCAATATAAAGTTATGTCACAAATTGACAGCACAGGAATCTGAAACGACCCTCAATTGATATAAGAAGTGCCACCTCTTAACCTGCAAGTAATTATACTGCAGATAAAATATGACTGAAAAAAAAATAATTAAATAAAAAAATCACACCTGCAGCTCTACCAGCACACCCACTGAGTGTCTTTCACTTCCCCTTTGACTTCCAGATAAAAAACTTAAAATCCCCTGGATCAGTTTTTTGTACAAAAGTTATTACCACTATGCAAAACAAAGGTTTTCCCCTTCTTGCTATCCCCTCAGGCAGTAATTCATGCACAGCACAGGAATTGCTGGGCAAGTAGAAAACAGGCAACTGTTTTGAAAAAAAATGAAGATTTAAAATGCTATGTTACAATATCAATGAAAACATTGCTAGAGCTTAAACACCTTGGAGAAAGAAAATTTAAAAAAAAAAGGATAAGTGCTACAGCACTCAGAATGTATTTGCAAATACTTTGGTAACTAAGGTCATCACAGTTATCTTGTGGCTCAGGGAAAACATCAGATGATTTGTTAAAGCTCAGTGTCAAAATCTTCATTGAAAACATACTGGGAGGCTAATCTTGGGTCATCCACATATTCCCCCCCCTCCAAGGTCAAGCAGAGACAGATAAAAAAAAAGATGCAGAATGCAAACAACACAAACATGAATGACGCAGCACAGAACAAACAGCCCTTGAATCTGCTGTAAAGATTGCAAAATGTACCTCTAGAGGACATAAACAAGACAATGCAAAAATGTAGAGGCATGAATTTTGTTAATAAATGTATTTTTAGAACTTGGCTTTCAGTAATTCGCCTTGTCAGATAAAATTAGTTTGTGTGGATGTCAGAGCAGCACATCGAAATAGGAAAGTCCATGCTCTAATTTGTTATTTTTCACCTAAATGTACACAAAATTGACTAGTTTAGGTATACAAGTTATATTCCCACTGCTGGGAAAGCTCATAACTGAAGTTAGATTTGACATACAAAGATAATACAAAGATCCAGAATGCAACTTAAAGCAGGAAAACAGAGCTCTGCTTCTGATTTCAGAAATTCCATAAATCGGGAATTCAAAGAATTTGCTGACCACAAGGAAGACTACAGGCAGGCTCAAGTGCAAATTGCAGTAGGAATGAAGGTGCAAAACTGAGATTAAGGAGAGGACTATAACTACTGAGAGAAGTAGGCATGAAATTTCTGTGCTCACAGTAACACGTTTATGGAAGGCCTTAAAAAGTAAGAACAAAGAACCCACCCAAAATATCTGAGCATAATACATTAAGATACAGGAAATTTTAGAGAGAGGGAACATACCATGAGCGCTGGAACACAGTATTATCTTAACCACAAAATTTCAAATTTGCTTTTCAGAAGCAGGAAGAGAAAAATGAGAGGAAAACCCAGAGATCAGAAACCAAAACATCAGAGTAAAGCAGGTAAAAACCTACCAAAGCATGGCCAGGGGTACCAGTATTGGAAGGTGAGAAAACATGGAAGAAAAATTAGCAAACAGCTAGATAAGGAAGAGAAAAAAAAAGAAGAGATGAGTGATAACATAAATGAAAAAGTGGTAAGAGATTTGGATGCAGAACAGTATAGAGGGTTTCAACAAAAGCAGGGAAAGCAACTCAAAGGATCAAACTGGATAAATGCATAAGGAAGTCTCTTGTACAGATGGAATACTGTGCACATGTTAAACCCCTCCAAATGGACTTCAAACTCATCACAGCAAGTCTGACAAGGTAACATGACCTTTTCAGGGGAAACAAGTTTCACTAGTTTGATTATAAAACTGGACACGAAGCAGCTGTGCAAGTAAAGAGAAAAGCCCCCCCCCCCATATCCACCACAGCAGAAATGGAAGTGATTACCTTTGTTCGAGCAAACAGCAGCATGGCAAACATGGTGAAGAGGGACAGATGAACAGCCAGCAGCAGAACAACACTGTTGGAAAGAAACCATGTGCATTAATAGCAAATTTATCTTATTCTTAATAACATCCTTTGCTAAAAATGCAATATAAAGGAAACAAGGGTGGGTTTTTTTAAGAATCTATATGGAAATAGAACACGATCTAAGTTTTAACCAAAGATAAAAATCCCATTTGTGGAGACTCCTCAGCACAAGCTCAGACTTTTTATCATGTCAATGAGATTCTAACACTTTTTTTTTTTTTTTAGAGAAAGGACCATATTTATACCCTCCCATCAAAATACAACACCTTGGCTTGCACACACACCTTTGATTCTCCTGGGGCTTGGTAGTGAAAAAGTAACAGGCAAGGGCAGTGAGTTCCATAAGCTCTACACATACATGACCCATGACACAGGAAGAGATCTCTATCAAAAAGCATCATGTTGTCTGGTTACAATTTCACCAGTGGGGTTTCCAGCTTAACACTAAAAGTAATTATATATATATATATATGTATGTATGTATGTATATGTATATATATATATAGTTAAAACCATTTAGAAAGGAAAAAGTTGAAGAAAAGCACTCTGAGGACAGACTTACATCCATCTGAAGATGCAAAGAAAGAAATATCTTTTTGTGTGGCCCTCATGACTGGAAGACAAGTACATGTGTGTCTACCCGTATTTCTGAGAGGTTGCCTTGGAGAAAACACAGCACAGACCCTTGCTCAGCTCTTCCCTTACAAAAGCAGAATCAAAAATTCCCACTGCACCAGCATCAAAAACCTTATCTGTCACATACAGAGTCACAACATGTGCACTCTAGAGCTGTTTTACAGACTAAAAGGAATCAAAAACCTAATTAATACAACCTCCACCCATTGCTACCCGATCTCACCAAGAACTTAGAAGGAGGCTGCTCATATTCCACACAGCAGAACACAAAGATTACTCCCTGCTTGCTGTGAAAGGATGTTTTCTATACTATTACCTACCTTGCCATTTCAGGCAATGTGCTGTTGATACTTTTTAATGTTTTCTTCATCATAGAGGAGTTCTGAAGGAGAAAGAACGGACGAAGAATCCTTCTTATCCTCAAACTCTGCAAAAACCAACGGATCAGACACTGAGTTCCCATAAGACCGGTGGCACAAACACTTTCCAGGCAAGTCTGCCAAAAAGCACTGATTCAAATACCAACAAAGTCAACAGCACCACAGAAGAAGGCTGTGCTCAGATGGTAACTCTGCTCCACTGAGCTCACAAAACAGGCAAGAGAGACTTCAGACTTCAGGTGCCTCATTAAAATAAGGAGAGATTGCTTTAAAAACCACACATTGACATTTCAACAACCTCATCAGGCCACTAATTAGAAACAATCTAACTTCACTGCTGGCTTGACATAACAAGCTGGCAAGAGATAGCACTTTTGTATTTCCTGTCTCAGGAAAGGAATTAATAGTGAGCTGCTTTCAATAAATACAAATACACACACTAAAAATAAGTGCTTGATTTCAATTTTCAGACTGACTTCTTTTTTGTTTTATAATTAAAGAGCCTGCTTATTATTCAGCAATTTCTGTCTCTGACAAGACTCAAATTGCTTTTTTTCCCCCCCACAACACTACAGCAAGTAATCTGTTTCTTGCCAGCCTTCAAGTTATTTCTGTGACAACTTATCAGCTGTTTCAGGTGTTTCAGCATGCTGGATTTTAGGATCAGTCTTCTCCAGGTCACACTTAACATCGAAAAAAAACCCCCACAACACCCCTTTCTTCACTGTTATCCCTTTGTTCACACATCTTAGCAGTTCAACTACTCCTCCTGCCACGGCTTTGTGTGGGAGGCTCCTGTTTAAACTACTCATCCATTATCACACCTAAAGATTCTAGGATCACTTCCCCATGTTGTAAACCCAGTTTTCCTCCAAGGTGATTAACTTCTTTCAGCCGCATTGTATTTGTTTGGCTTGAATACAAAAAGGACATAGTCACTTTTCTCACTGTTAGATGCTTATAAGCTTAAATAACATTTTTATTCAGCATTTTAAGATCACGTCTCTGATGCTCCATCACATCCAGGTCAGCAGTGACCAGTCATCAGAGAATGAACAGCATGAACAGCTAAAAAATGTCACCCACAGCAGCACCTGCATCCAACCTCATCCTGACCAACACTGACAGTAACTTAAAACAGGTTTGGAAGCTCCCTGAAGACAGCAGATACTGGTTTTGACATGAGAAATGACAAAAGAAGCCAAGTTTAAGATTTCTCCCTCATTCACTTCCCAGCATTTTTACCATCTTAGTGTTTTCTTAACAATGATTGTTAATGAAAATCCGTGGCAGAGAAAACCAACTGGGAGATGGTATTATCACATAAAGGAGGGCACTTCTAGAGCCATTTCACAGAGCTGACATTCCCCTCAGAATGTCAATTGCTTTGAACACAGCACAGCTTCAGCTCAGCAAGCAGCTGTTAAACTACATTTTACTTACACATCACTGCATAGGCTCTGCTGCTGAATCAAGTTAAGGATATAATTCTCCAGCTGCATGACAACATTGCTGCCGTGCAGTGAGTTTTCTTTAAACTTTCTGCCTATTGACAGACCAGTGCAGCAAAGTTTTATTTAATTTTACCAGTGAACACGCACATTAAGAATCAAACATAATCCTCAGCAAGACAACATCACCAATAACTTTGTCTGTGTTTCAGTGTGTTATCCAGCTATCAAAGACCAAAAATGAACCATCTCCTCCTCATCTCTTAATCCTGCAATACACCATATAAACCCTGCTGACTATCCCTTTGCAGGCTCTTCTCCTCTGCCACTTTCCACAATCAAGATGCTGATTGTTTCTGCAGAAACCAGTTCTTACCTCTGTGCAGAAAAAACTCAGCGAGACAATCCAATCAGTCAGGGACACAATTAATGTCAGTATATAAGCCATTAGCCATTTGTTTTTCCAAAATTCTTTCCATCCAATTAAGTAACTCTGGGCAAGAAAAAAACAAACCAGAGCAATCAAAACTTACTTTAACGATGAATTCCAACACCCTAATATTGAAATATATAATATATATATATTGGAATATATATACCCTAATATTAGAATACATAATATATATTGGAATAGATATACACCCTAATATTGGAATATATTATATATATATTGGAATAGATATACACCCTAATATTGGAATATATTATATATATAATATGTACGTATATAATTATATTATATATAATTATAAATATATAATTATAAATTACAATATATCATATATTAATATATCCCAATATATATCTACATCTAGTAAATATATAGTGTATATATATAGTATATATTTACATATATATATACATATATATATAGTTTATATATACATATATATATATAATCTAATATTAGGGTATATATATTGCAATATATATATTCTTATATTGGAATATATAATAAATATATAATATATATTCCAATATACATAGTGTATACATATATATTGCAACATATATAGTGTGCATATGTATATTGCAACATATATAGTGTGCATATATATATTCCAACATACATAGTGTATACATATATTGCAACATACATAGTGTGTGTATATATATATTCCAATATACATAGTGTGTGTA